CGCCCCCTTGTGGGCTTCTTCTGACGCTTCCCAAGCCTCAAACGAGTCCCAGAGGTGGCAATTTCACCCCCTCGGACCCCTGGGGAGGCAGGGTGAGTCTCTAAGGGTCCTAGGGTGTATTCCAGGACCCTTTAGAGACTCACCCTCCCCCTGGGGGTCAGAGAGGGCAAAATCGCCACCTTCTGAGACTCTTTTGAGGCTTGAGAAACTTCAGAAGAGTCCCAGAAGGTGGCGATTTTGCCCCTCTGACCCCTGGGGGGAGGGGGAGTCTCTAAAGGGTCCTAGGGTGTGTTCCACGACCCTTTAGAGACTCACCCTGCCCCCCCAGGGGTCAGAGGGGGTGAAATCACTACCTTCTGGGACTCTTCTGAGGCTTCCCAAGCCTCAAAAGAGTCCCAGAAGGTGGTGATTTCGCCCACGCTGGCCTCCGGGGGGGGGGGGCTGGGTGAGCCTCCAAAGGTTCCTAGGGGGTGTTCCATAAGACGGACCTCTCCATAAGGCTCACCAATTTTTAGGAGAAGAAAACAGATTATTTTTTTTTCCTGTTTTCTTCTCCTAAATATTTGGTGACTTCAAACCAAATTCAAAAACCCTTATCCATCACCCAATATATTTTAGCAGTGTAATCACACCTTCAATTTGCAATCAAAAAAACCCTCAATACAGGGACCTTTATGTTACTTCAACCACACATATGCTACATTCAAAACTTAGTTATATAGATGATCTTCTGTGTATGCCAGATTTTAAAGTGTATGTTTCCTAGTTTTGTTCTTGAGACGGGAATTTGAACTCACTGAAATAAACTGAGCAAAAGAAGAACTGGAAAGGGACATTAAGGTCACGTTTGAAACTGAATACTGAAATTAAGCTGACAGTGCCACCAACCTGCAAAGTATCAGCGAACACAACAATCAGATTCTTCAACTCCAGAACAAGATCAGGGTCGGTGCAATAGGACTGAAAATTAAAATTATAGATTATGCTTTAAACATTATTTTTTCAAACAAACAGTAAATGTCTTTTCAAGTCTGAAGATTATATCAAGTTGACTTTTATCTCTGGTTGGCAGTTGATTCTTCCAGTTGGCTAGTGCTGAGTGGAGATAAATATGCAGCTAAACCTCATTACTATGAGCTCTTTAATAAGAATAGCCCCTGTCTCCTTCTTCCACAATAAACAACATTTCTATATTTAGCATGAATTACTAAAGTTAAATTCCACCAGCTATGAGCAGTTTTAGCCACTTTATTCTTTTTTTGTGGAGATACTCAGTTAGGCAAACTAAGCAATGGAAAGTTTATATTATGAAAAGCTACATCATACAGTGACAATACTCTCTCAACCAAATACAGCCAATATTAAATTAATAACTCTGTGCCAGTTTCAAGAAGCTGGAACAGATCTATTGCAACAAAGACATAATGCCTTGGAAGAACCAAAGGACAACTCTAAGGGTTGTGCTGGTTAAGTTTATTTTGGAAACAGGGCTTTTGGAATGATAATTAAGAACTATTTCCTGGTGCTGCTTTCAGTGCTAAACTAATTCAATCTGATCTAATGAAGAGGTCAGCTGAAACTAATTAGGACAGGTTGCAATAATAACAGAAGATTAACTCTGCATATTCTAAACTGCTGGACTAAGGGCACAGTTTGGAAGACCCAGGGAGTTGTAAATCAGTGGAGGATTATGCAGATAGCCCACAGCTGTGGCTCACAGCCTGATACTGCTGGGACAAACAAAAGCTTGGCAGGCTCTCCCCAAAATCTGAGCAATTTTTAATTACAAAAAAATCCCTCCCCACCACTCCCTTTTTTCCTACTTTGACTTTATCCTTCCTCTAAACACACTAGAAGTCCCTATAGTAAATGCACTTAAAGGAGATGACAGTCACAATGTCTACATACAATACTTACTGAGTGAGTTCTAAGGACAGCAATGATCTTTGAAATTGCCATGTTCCAAAGTTCATCAGTGTAAGCTCTGGTTATAAGTCCTTGAGTTACATGCAAAATGTGATCTTCCACTACAAAAAAACTGAACATACATAGCAGTAAACTTAACAGTGAATGAATTGTCGTTCCCTTGAAATACAGTTTATAGTAACAATAAAGCTTGGGTTTTTCCATCTCTCTGCGTCCTCTAAACACAGTTGCACATACAGGTAATAACAGGTGTTGTTTGTAAAAAGCTCTGAAATATAGTCAACATCTACAGAAGCAATTAGGAACATTCTCACTAATTTGCTGCTGGAGGGGCTTATACAAACCACTTCATAGGGGAAGTCCTTTGCTATTTGGCTGCAGAGTAGTGTGCGACATGTTATAACAGCCATATAGGTATTTTCTAAAGACCAGAAGATGGAGAGAAGAGAACCAATTTCTCCTATTCAAAGAAATGGCTCGCCCATAGTAACTTTTCCTGGTCAAGTGAGATTTAAACCCAGGCTTCCTGAATCCTAGTTTCAACACTCTATCCACTACACTACACAGGATTTATTTATATATATGCTGTACACTGAAGATTTAAACGCACTGAAGATTAAAAAATATAATGTGCAAAGAATATTTTTTATGTATTACAACAACTCTAATAGGGCATTCAGGGTATATGAGATATTTAAAGGTGGTTTTACACTGCCACTCCCCAGTGAGGTTCTATGTCTGAACGGGGATTTGAGTGCAAGCCTTTTAAATCCTACTTTTCACCTTATCCACTGTACCACTCTGGCTGTTACAGGAAATACACAGTTTCATACAGTCATGGCCAAAAATATTGGCACCCTTGTAATTCTGTCATAAATTTTTTCTCTCAGAAAATTGTTTCAGTTGCAAATGTTTTGGTACTCACATGTTCATTTCTTTGGTTTGTGTTGGAACAACACAAAAAAAAACAGAAAAAAAAATCTGATACAATCCCACTCAAAAACCCAAAAATTCGCTGGCCAAAATTATTGGTATCCTGTACAAATTGTAAGAAATAATTGCTTTCCAAGCATGTGATGCCCCTTTAATTTGTATTTAGACACATCTGTCACAAGTAAGAGGTGTAGGTAATATAGTAATCATACTAGCAACCGCTTAAGATGGAGAAAAATTGACATAACCTTGTGTTGTGTTTGACACTGAACATGGAGAAAAGAATGAAGGGCAAAGAGTTGTCTGTGGATTTGAGAGAAAAAATTGTGGAAAACCATTGACAATCTCAAGGCTAAAAGTCCATCTCCAGAGATCTTAATGTTCCTGTGTCCACTGTGCACAATGTCATCAAGAGGTTTACAGCCCATGGCATTATAACTAACCTCCATGGACGTGGACGGATGAGCAAAATTACTGAAAAGTTACAACAAAAGGTTATTTAAATGGTGGATACAGAACCCATATTAACTTCCCAACAAATTCAAGCTGATCTGCAGACACAGGGTACAACAGTGTCAGCTCACACTATCCGTCGCCATCTGAATTAAAAGGGATGCTATGGTAGGAGACCCAGGAGGACACCACTGCTGACACAAAGGCCTAAAAAAAACAAAATTGGAGTATGGCAAAACTTATGTGACAAAACCACAATCCCTCTGGGAGAACGTACTGTGGACAGATGGGACAAAATAGAGCTTTCTGGTAAAGGATATCATGGCACTGTTTACAGAAAAAGAAATGAGGTATTCAAAGAAAAGAACGCAGTCCCTACAGTCAAACATGGTAGAGGTTCAAAGATATTTCAGGGTTCCTTTGCTGCCTTCTGCACTGGATGCCTCGACTGTGTGAACAATATCATGAAATCTGATGATTACCAAAGAATTTTGGGACACAACATAGTGGCCAGTATCAGAAAGCTGTCTGTCTCCACCAGAGGTCATGATCTTCCCAGCAGGACAATGACCCAAAACAGACTTCAAAAAACACTCAGAAATGGTTACAAATAAAGCGCCGAAGAGTTCTGAAATAGCCAGCAATGAGTCCAGATCTGAATCCCACATAGAACACCTGTGGAGAGATCTCAAAACAGCAATTGGGAGAAGACATCCTTCAAATCTGAGGCCCTGGAGCAGTTTGCTAAAGATGAGTAGTCCAAAATTCCAATAGAGAGGTGTAAGAAACTCATTCATGGTTACAGGAAGCAATTGATTTCAGTTATTTTTTCCAAAGGGGATGCTACCAAATATTAAGTTAAGGGTGTCAATAATTTTGGCCAGTGCATTTTTGGGTTTCTGTGTGGAATTGTCTCAGATTTTGACTTTTCTTCTCTGTTTTGTGTGTGTGTGTGTGTTGTTCCAACGCAAACCAAAGAAATGAACATGTGAGTACCAAAACATTTGCAACTGCACCAATTTTCTGAGAGAAGGGTTGCATTTTCTAACAGAATTGCAAGGGTGCCAATATTTTTGGCCATGACTGTATATATCACCATTTATTACATGACAGCAGAACATTTGTAGACTTCTAACAGAGAAGCTATTTGGAAATCTGAGATAATTGCACCCTGAATAGTATGCTCAATGTACTGAACATCCATTATTCAACGGGCCACTATCTAAGAAAGTGGGGAAGTAAACATTAGAGGAGGAGGCCAATGGAACATCTCGCCTGGCCCCAGAACCTACTTAATTCTGAATGGTGACCTCGACAGACGTTGGAGAGACTAGTATGGCACCTGAGAAACCTGGATTTCAAGAACCTAGCGATCTCAAGAAGGGAAGTCAGATGGAATTCCAGGAGGGAGACAAATGGCCAGGAAGTCCAAGTCTAGAGGAATGGCACCTAGAGGAGCTAAGTGGTGCCTGGATCTTGGGTGTTGTGGGAAGAAGAGATAGAAATATGGGAATTGGTGGAGCAGGGTATTCAAACTAAAAATCTGCTCCCTGACATCATTATTGAGGAAGAAGTGGAGGAAAATTCCCGGAGAGATGCCCTGAAGGAGCCCATGGACAAATACCAAGTAGAAGCAGAATTCCACAAGGAACCCTTCCCACCAGGCAATTGAAAATATATTTACAAAGAAGACCCTATGATCCTGGACAGAGGTGCTCGTACAATTGAGGGTCCCCTGGGATGAGGTCAATAAGCCCTCTTACTGGGGAGAGTATGAGTGATGAGAGAGAAGGAACCATAACGAACAACCAGCAACTCTGCCACAATCCTCGTGAAGGCAAAGTCAGTGAGCTTGACAAAGCAAAGAATCAGCAATAGGACTAAGGTGTTACTGCTACTCTTCTCAGTGTGGGCATATCCACATCTCTCATGAGCCTCACACTTCAAGCCTGAAGAGGCACTACAATCTCTTCCCTTGGTGAAATTACCAGAGGGGAAGAGAACCTGAGAACAAAAAAGAGAACCTTTTGGACTCTGAACCCTGAACAGAGAAGGAAACTAGTCCAGAATTCATTATTGGAAGTTCTGGTGTCCCCAAACTCCTTTTAATAAACTCTGTTTTGTTGAAACCACAGTGTTGTCATTTATGGAACAAGCAATGGAGAAAAGAGCAGCTGCTGATTCTGCTCAGGCTGGTATTAAACATATGTTTAATTTTAGACCTGGACATGATTATTATAGCTGTTTCATGGAAACTATATTTGTCTGACTCTTGCTTTTTGACTGTATGCTATCAATCATGCTTTCCATCAAATTAGATTTGCTACTGTTCCTCCATCTCCGATTTAAGGAGGTCCTTGTATCCTTGTCTTTGTAGGGATGTGGTGGCGCTGTGGGTTAAACCACAGAAGCCTCTGTGCTGCAAAGTCAGAAGACCAGCAGTCAAACGATCGAATCCACACAATGGAGTGAGCTCCCATTGCTTATCCCAGCTCCTGCCAACCTACCAGTTCGAAAGCTTTACCTTTACCTTGTACATAGATGCACATGTATAAGCACACAACAGTGACAACTCTCCATAGTGTCATGGAACAACTAAAGCAATAAGGAAAGTTTTGTTGAGGGTTCTGAGAGGCACAGTCCAAAAAAGTAATTTTTCTAGCTTCTACCACGAACTTCTACCAAGAAATTTCTACCAGTTTCTCATTGTGTGTGTGTGTGTGTATTTGCACTAGGAACCCACCTTCTTTGGCAAACACAGAACTGTCAAATAAGACAAGATGGCAATTAAGCAGGGAGACTCAGGGCACAGTAATCACTATTTTCCCACTCAATTTTCTCAGGTATCATCAACATGCATCTAAACGTGTCCTTAATATAGCAACAATCAACAGCCAGGCACCAATGCAACAAACACAGCTGCAAGTCAACAGTGATCAAGTTAGACAATCAAGATAGTTGGACAGGGGGAAAACTATATAACTTAGGAGGATAATAATGCCATATTTTGCAACTCACCCTACAATTTGACTGAAGTATCTTCTGTAGCCTTCTACAGTTTCATGCTTTAGGAAAATAACACAACGGTGACTTTAGTCAAAATTCTGCACAAATATATAAACCAGACAAATCTCCCACCACTCTTAGGTTGGTTTGTTTTTGTGCTTACATACCATGTTCGATTGTGGTTGTAACACTAGTCTTGCTTGTTTCCTCCTTTGTTTCCTATAATAGTTTTCAAATGTCTCTGCATCACCCTAAATGAAAAAAGAGGATGTTTTAGAAAAAAATCATATATAACAGGGTATAGTTTCCCCGAAAATAAGACTGGGTCTTATATTAATTTTGGCTCCAATATATATACTGTATATTGGAGCAGAAATTTTTATATATCCATTTATTTCTCCCAAAGGCTATTGAGCAATTCCTAGAATCCATGCAACAAATGATTTATGCTGAGCACATACTGACAGTACAAAGTATTTCTACTTTGTGTAATCAAAGTCATTTTATTTTTTGCAACTAACACTTGAGTTTTCATGCTGCTTTTTCTGTTATTCAGTCCGTACTGCTATAATCATGTTTATGACTTTAAACAAATAAGTAAAATCTACTTACACGAAGAAAGTGTTAAGGCCTTATCTGCAGCACATATGCTCAGGGATCCCCATTCATTTCAAAAGGGGAAAAAAATTCTAATTTTTGGCTGATTGCATTCTTGACTAGTGGACAGGATGTGTGTGTTCCTTTTGGTTCTGCTGAATCTCTTAGCAGCTTTTGATATCATTGACCATGGGATCCTTCTGGCCCATCTCTACGGGATGGAACTTGGAGACACTGCTTTAAAGTAGCTCCTATCCTTCCTAGAGGGGAGAACTCAAGACATGGTGCTGGGAGACTCCTGTACAACATCCTGGCTATTGGCCTGTGGAGTCCCTCAGGGTTCCGTTTTGTCCCCTAAAGATTTAACATCTACATAAAACCACTGGGAAAGGTTGTCTGGAGTTTTGGGGTTCTATGTGACCAGGATGCAGATTACATCCAACTCTCTCTCTCCTTTCCATATAAATTCAAGGAAGTTGCTTCAGCTCTAGATCAGTCTGGTATCAGTAATGGACTGAATAAAAGTGAATAAACTGAAACTTAAACCAAACAAGACAGAGGTGCTCCTGGTCAGTCAAAAGGCAAATCAAGGAAAAAGCCTTCAGCCTGGTTGGATGGGGTTATAATTCCCTCTGAAAACATAGGTGTGCAGCTTTTTGGGTGCTCTGGGATTTATGTCTAAACCTGAATGCCCAGATTTTGGCAGTGGCCAGGAATGCCTTTGCACAGTTAAAATTACTGCACCAGCTGCATCCATTCTGATCTGGCCACAGTGAATCATGCATTATTTATATCCCAGCTAGATTACTGTAACACGCTTTATGTGGTGCTGCCTTTGGAAAGTGTTCAGAAACTTCAGCAGCTCCAAAACGCTGCAGCCAGATTATTAACTGGGACTGATTACGGGATTTACATAATCCCCCTTACAGCAGCTCCTTTGGCTGCTAATCCATTTCTCTCCAAAACGCTGTAGCCAGATTGTTAACTGGGACTGATTACGGGGTTTACATAACCCCCCTTAAGCAGCTCCTTTGGCTGCTAATCCATTTCTGGGCACAAGTGAAAGTGCTGGTTTCAACCTTTACATTACTAAATAGCTTGGGTCCAAGCGAATGTTCCCTCTAATTTTCAGCCTTGTTGGGTGAGGTACTGCCCCCTACATGGGATTTGTGACCAGAATCAATGAGGCTGAAAACGATCTCTGTGGGTGCACAAAGGAGGAGCCCTGAGCTGACGAGGGCAGGGAGGTGCGCACCTTAGTCCAAGCTATTTCAAGGACTGCATTTCCCTTTATGAGCCTGCTTGGGAGTTAAGATAACCAGGATAGGCCTTTCTTTCAGTCCCACCACTCTCATAGGTGCATTTGGTAGGGACACAGGAGAGGACTTTATCTGTTGCTGCTCCCAGACTTTGGAACATCTTCCCACTGAAGACAGGCTGGTTCCAAGCCGACAAAAACCATTCTCTTCAGGCAGGCTTTCCCTTAGTGAATGGCTGTATGAGAGGGTTTTTTTAAAATAAGAATGTTGTGCCTTGTTGCTTTTAAATGTATTTTTAGTATTGATTTTTATTTAATATTTTTAATATATTTGTTTAATTCTTTTAAAACATATGTACTTTATCTTTTTCGTTTTTAAATACAATCTTTTTAATGATATTGGCTCCCTTGGGTCCTTTTTAGAGAGAAAGGCAGGGTACAAATATTGTAAGTAAATAAAACAAAACAGAAGTAAATACTTAGTGAGCAACAAACAACATCTGTTCATTTAATCTTTCATGTAATTATCAGGAAAACATATTTCGATTAGGAATACCAGTCAGCTTTTTATAGCAAGGAAGTAGCACATGGTATAATGAAGTACCATGATTGCAGCCTTCCTCCAATTGGTCTTCTAGATATGTTGGGAGCACAACTGCCGTCATCCACAGCCACAATGGCTGGATCCAATAAACCTACAAATGGACTTTTACTGACAAACCAGAGAATGGAAGCAATTTTCACTGATTTCCTCCTGCCTCCTGAAGCCTCCTGTGTCTCCCCAAATCTGTTCTGGAGTGTTGGCACACTCTGTAAAAGCATGGAGGTAGTGGGCAAGGACTGAAGGGCAAAGGAGGGTCAAAACGGTTTCCCCACTTCTTTTGAAACAGCAAGCCACCAATGGATCAGAGAGCATCTTAACTAAGGTAAGAGAGACCAGACAGATACTGACAAATATGGACTAAAGAATCTCAATGGCAACTACCAGAGAAAGTGAACATTCACTTTTAATTTAAAAATGTAGAAAAGATTTGTATTAAAGTACCTGCTTTAATACAAATGGTAATTTACACCTGGTTCATGCACAAAGAAAAACAAAGCAAAGCATTACAAAAGAACCAAAGAAAAGAGTATACATACCAGAACAGAATAAATATGCAAACATCTATAAACAGGAGAGAAATCTACCAGATCATGTGCTGTCAGAACCTGCAAGAACAGGCCAAAACAAAATACACAGAATTTAGTAATGACACTATAAACCAAATCAGTGTTTTAAAGCAGTGGCCCCCAACCTTGGGCCTCCAGATGTTATTGGACTTCAACTCCCAGAAATCCTGACCAGCAGAGGTGGTGGCAAAGGCTTCTGGGAGTTGTAGTTCAAGAACATCTGGAGGCCCAAGGTTGGGGAGCTCTGTTTTAAAGGACAAACAATAAGTCAGACAGAAGACGAGTATTCTCAGTCTGAGGCAGACTCAACATTTATCAAGTTATTGAACCATTGTAGTAATTATACAGATGCCATAATCAGATTTTTAAAAACTTTCTGATTATGCACTTTTACATAGAAGAGAAAGGCACGGTAATGAATGTGAGCTCACTGAAAACCATATCTATCATATTCTGTCACTGATAAAAAGTACAGACCAGAACGTAGTAAATCAAGGAAGATGAAAAGGTAAAATAATGACAGCGGCAAAGCAATAGGATTTGAAAGTTAAAAAATTACATACATTCTCTTACGTTTCCTTCCCAACATGTTCGTAAGTAAGCTAATTTGCAGTACGATTGTACAACTTTCTTAATATGTCTGGCCAAGAACTATGTTTCAATTTATTTTTGATAATGACTTACCAAAATTCACAAATTCCTTCATATTCAAGATGAAAAGAACTTGAGATTTAAAGTGGAAGAAACCAAAACTAACTCATTCAGCTGCCCAGGACTATGGGCTGACTGTTCAAAAGAGTGAGTTTAAATCCTTGTACAGTGGTGCCTCGCACAACGATGTTAATTGGTTCAAAAAAAAAAACGTTCTGTGAAAACGTCGTTCTGTGAAACACCATTTCCCATAGGAATGCATTGAAAACCAGTTAATCCGTTCCAATTGGAATGGATTGCCGTCCTTAAGTGAAAATCGGCATAGGCAACATCGTTGAGGGAAACGCGGTTCCCCAATTGAAATGCATTGAAGCCGACTCAATGCATTTGAATGGGTTTGCGAAGTCCCTTTTCGCTCCTGTAAAAGTACCTTAAACTATTTGAAACCTGGTTACATGCTTGGCATCGATAGTCCAGCTTGTGAAACGTATGCAAACTTAATTTGGTGTTGTTCTGAGGCGTCGTTAATTTTTGGTGAATGGCTTTCAATGGAGAATAAAAAAATTCACCAAAAATTAGCGAAGACTCAGAATAACACCAAATTAAGTTTGCGTAGGGTTCAGGAGGCGGGCTAACAATTGCAAGCATTTAAAACAGGTTTCAGACAGTTTAAGACATTTTTACAGGAGCGAAAAGGGACATCGGAAAGAGCTTCAAAAGCAGGGAAACGGAGATCAAAGAGCCCTTTCCGATGTCCCTTTTCGCTCCTGTAAAAGTACCTTAAACTGTTCGAAACCTGGTTACATGCTTGGCATCGATAGTCCAGCTTGTGAAACGTATGCAAACTTAATTTGGTGTTGTTCTGAGGCGTCGTTAATTTTTGGTGAATGGCTTTCAATGGAGAATTAAAAAATTCACCAAAAATTAACGACGCCTCAGAACAACACCAAATTAAGTTTGCTTACGTTTCACAAGCTGGAATATTGATGCCAAGCATTTAAAACAGGTTTCAAAGAGTTTAAGGCACTTTTAAATGAGTGAAAAGAGACATCGTTGTGTGAAAATTCCCCATAGGAAACATCGTTGTGTGAGGCGGCAAATTTTTCAGAAAAAGCCATCGTTGTGTGAATTTATCGTTGTGTGAGGCACTCATTGTGCGAGGCACCACTGTATATTCAAACCATGTTACTGCTGAATTAGTGTTAATGCCTCTTCATTTTCTTCCTTTAACACCTAGGGAGCAGGTAGGTATTATCTCTTTGTTATGAATACCCACAAGGTGTAGATATTCCTACTGCATTGAACCAGTGCGAAGAATAATTTACCAAGTGTCTTTATATTGGGATGGAAAGAAATGAAGGTTTAAAACATTTGAATAAGTGGAAAAGTAACATTTTCTCATCTGTAGCTTAGACTTTTTCCCCATGAGAAAATCCATCTACAGGACAGCATTACTAACAATAGAATCAGATCAAATTATTAATCTGTTTACTGTGAACAAAACATAACTTCAACTCGCATCAGCCATAGCCTACACAGTTAACGATGATGGGAGGTCCAGTCCAATAATACCAGAAGGGCCACATACCACCACCACCCCATCCCAAATACTAAGCTACAAGGGCAACCAATGCCCTAAGTAAAATATGGTTTGAGACTAAAATACCTCATCATCATGTCCTTCCTCCTCCTCTTCCTCAAGTTTTTGCTTTGAAATAATCTCATTCCTTGGGCCTGGAATTCCATCATTATTTATATATACATTCTTGCCATAATGGAGATTGTTTTGCTTATGGAGAACAGTATTAAAGGTTTTCTGCTGCTGTGCCTGCATCAGCAAACAAACAAACAAACACTGAATACACAAGACCCATACAAATCCCCTCAAGAGTCCTAAGAAAAGCCAAGCATAAGGAATGGCAAAGGAAGCAGAAGACGGTATGGAACAGATCATTCCAGTATGATCGGAGATCAGTAGCAGTGAGTTCTAAGCACCACAATTTCTTTGAAATAACTTAGCTTTTATGTTATATTTGAAATGTATTTCCATTATGCCCTCTTTACAGTCTCCAGTAAAGAGGGCATAATGAAAATACATTTCAAAAATAACATAAAAGCTAAGTTATTTCATTAGTGTACCAACGTGTGTTTTCTCACCACTTTTCACAGCTATTTAAGGCATTTTAAAGGCACTTCAATAGGATTTTTTTTCACTTATTTTGCTGTTACATTACAACCCCATGGCTTCGATTAATTTGATTGTGTGTGTGAAAAGAGAGATATGTTTGCTCCATGCCTTTACCACCAAGGTCCAAAAGCAAATAAACAGAGACTACTTTTTTAAATTAAAATCTTTGAAAACTTTGGCAAGAAACAACACCTAAAAAGAATGTGCTGAAATCTCAGTAAAAATTACCTGTTTCATTGCAGTTTCGCCAATTTTATCTGAATGCTTCCGAATACTTTCCAGAAAGTCCTTAAGATCCGACATAGAAATTTCTTTAATTTCCTCACGAAGTTTCGGAAGGTTGTCAATCATTATCTGACAAAAACGATACTGACTCACTCTTGGGAAGTATATCTTTTCCAGCTGTTCCATAGTTTTTAAAGCTGAATAATATCTAAGAGAAAGGGAGAAACATCTTCTAGTTTAAAAAATGAACAAATAATACATGCATTTGTTTTTATATGACTGTAATCCAAGTAAAATTTATAATAGCAGAAGGTCTAGATTTCAAACAGTGACAGTCTCATACAGTCAAAAGAGGGTTTTCAAAAGACACAAAGAAGGCTGGGTGAGAGGGGAAGACCAAAGTATGAGAGAAAAGATTAAAAGGTAGAGACCGAGCCTTTGTAGCCAGTGGGAAGCGCCATGCCCAGATGATCACTGTTGATTTGCTAAAACAATCAGGAATGTTACATCCAAAAAAGGGCCTATATGATCATGTTCTTTGCAAGCTGATACCCCCAAATTAAGGAAGAAAGGTAGACTTCTGCTTAAATTGGCATTCAAGTAACTAAGTAAATGCTTTGTCCTTTATGCCTCAAGAGAATCTTTTTTTAAAAAAAAGTTATACTTTCTTTAATATATTATACCAAAAATATTGCTTGTAGTCCCATTTACACTTTAAAGTCCAAACTAACTTTCGGATAGCATCTGCCCCCATCATGGGAAACAGCAGTGTGGAACGTATCTCTCCAGGGTCTGTTGGAAGCACCCCTTTCTCAGAGCTCTAAAGTATGTCTATTCCACAGATCTCCATCATCCGGTTTCTGCACCAACAAAAGCAAATGACACAACCAACTTGAAGTAGCAGTGGGCTCAGACATCCCACAGGAAGTAGACAGGAGCAAGAGCAGCCAGTTGTCCACCCAGTAAGGAAATGTGGCGGCAGACAACAATGCATGTTAAGCAGCAAGCAGGCCAAGGCTGCCATGTGAGGGAGCCAGCCCTGTCCCAGCCTAACTTTCACCACTCTTACAAAGCTATTAAATACACAATACACACACACACACAAAAACAGATAACTGAAGTCAAGCCTGCATTATCACAAAAAACAACAACAACAGATAACTGAAGTCAAGCCTGCATTATTTTCTCCCTACATATTGAATAGCACATTGTGTGATATATGTTTAGAATTTGGATGAATCAAGGAATTTGGATGTAAAGAATTAACACAAACGTACATTGCCAGTCCTTCAGTGAAGGAAAAGCACTTTGGACATATTCCAACACCCTCTTTACTGTTACTTATCTATGATTTCTCCTTAATCATTCTGGCCCTGGGCTCGCTTTGCTTAACTACAAAATAGAGCCAGCATCATCTAGAAAGTCAGAAGTAAAACACATTGCACATATACATACAGAATTTGAGCAACCCCCTATATTTTAATAGACCAACAGCTCCATCTACAGTCCTGCTGGAACTGGATGCATGGACCTCTGCTGGAAATAAGTGGTTTCCTCCTCACTGCACTTGCCCAGTTTAATCCCTTCTTAACAATAACCCATTTGATTTGAACTTCTTTACTCTTTTGTAATACAAGTTCATAGCCATTAGGGAAGTGACTTATACTGACCAATGACATCAGAGATCAATTGGATCAAACTTGCTCTCCATCTCAGAAAGGCAGTTCATCACCACTGACCTCAAATTCCCATAAATACATGGAGAACAGTCCTAGTGTTAGGTCTCCTCTGGGACCCACATGACCTGAAGCCATGTACTCTTCCTCAATCAAGAAGGAAGGCACTGTCTTAGCAGCTGAGTTCATATTTTGCAATTCATATCGATTGGATCACATGAAAAGTAACAAACTCAATTGGTTGTTGTGGGGTTTGGGGGCTCTTTGGTCATGTTCTGAAGGTTGTTCTTCCTGACTTTTCGCCAGTCTCTGTGGCTGGCATCAAGATGCTGGCCACAGAGACTGACGAAACATCAGGAAAAACAACTTTCAGAACACAGCCAAAGAGCCCAAAAAACCCACAACAACCATCAGATCCCGGCCGTGAAAGCCTTCGAGAATGCAACAAACTCAATTCTTTAAGCAATGGCTAAAGCCAGCTTTGCAACTGGTATACTACAACACTTAACTTTTTTTTGTATTGCAACATACTCAATTCTTATTGTATTTTGTCACAGCAAGTGAGACAGCCAATTCATCAACTTCATCCTTGCATTAAATGTGGGTACAGCAGACAGACATGGACTTACAGTTGCATAACAAGACCTCGGAATGAATTTCTGAACTCTGAAATATCTTTATGGTATATCAATGCTACTGTCTTCTTTTCATTATTGATGGTTAGTAATAATTTTAATAATGTTGCAATTTGGCCACATCTCTTATGTTCATGTATGTAGGGTATGGAAAATGGGGTGAGCGGAGGCAGCTAGTCAGAAACTAGGTCTCCAGGTTTTCAGGGTACAGGCTTGGACAAAAAACAAATAGAAAACCTAACAAAAGCCAGGTTCAATATCTGAAGTTCTTACACAAAGGTTAGATACAGTATGTACCATCGTGCATTTATTTTGCTATATAGTATATGCAGATTAATCCACTCCTTTTGACATCAAGACCTATCTGTTTGCATTCATTTTTCATTCCCACTTTTAATCTAGACAACATTGGCCTCACCACTGTCCAGTAGACATCCCCTAGTTATAACTAAACACATAAGACTGTTCCTTTTCTTCCATATTGGAGCCTATGTAATCAATTCATTTCTCAAGTATAGTCCAGCAGCTAAAGTAGAGAGTTATGACTACACAAAATGGATGCAAAATAACAATCATCGACTAGTTTCCTATTTTTAAAATTAATGGTACAAACAAAAACGCAACCAACCAGTTTCCTTTTTAAAACAAACATATTTGCAAAGACTAAAAAGAAGCAAATTACTGTAAGACGCCAACATTATTATTTGGACAAGTTATAGTAGTTGTTTATTGAAGATGTCACTTACTAAAATTCATTCAGAGTAAGTTCCAAAGGTACAAAACTCACTTAGAGATACAGTATGTGTGTAAGTCAAATTGATTGGCACAAGAACAACCTGCTGCATGTATCTAAAGAAGAGGTATAATCACAGTGATGGTATTAAATAACCTACAACAGGCATTGCTAGTACCTTAATACTCAGAGGTCATTTTTAAAAATCCCTTTCTTTGAAAAAATTGTGTAGAATGCATTTATTTATTTAAAATACTTATAACCTGCCTTTCTCCTAAAAAAGACCCATGGATGCTTATGGTGTTAAAAAAATATTTTCAGAGTTTAACAGTGCAAACCTATGCAAGCCACTTCTGCTGTATCAAAGGCAAATAATAACAAAAATATTTCCTTTGCTGTTTTTACGGTGCACTAGTTATCCTCAGCTTGCTTTAGAACACAAAATTCTAAATGCCATTATAAACCTAGTTTATATTTTTGTTCCACTTTATGCAGCTTAATATAGATCTTATCTCCTCAGGACAATCATTAAGATAAAAAACCCTTCATTTTTCTCACAACATCTGTTCATTTACAATGACAGACATGAAACAAAGACATGAAAAGAATACAATGACCAGGCCAACATTCATTATATGTCTTGACCAGAGTAGTCTTTGCTATTCCAGCAGTAATTGTAGAAGACAAGTGGATGAACCCATTCATTAAAAAAGTTATAGTTCAGTTGAAAAGAATTCTACTCACCTTTTTACATTCATCTGCTCTTTTAATTTGCTGTACATCTCCAATACTGTATAAAGAAAGATGTTAAAACACATAAATGCTACTACAAAATGCACAAAGATTACAAAGCATACATATATTCTTTCCCCTATTTAATTTTATTTTGAAATACTTTCTTTGTCGCAGGAAGGATTTCACAATGGAAAGATGAAAGAAATCAAAGCATATAATACATGCTGGGTGAGTAAAGGGCAGCAAAGGGCAGTAAACTAACAAACAAACAAAAATCAAACCATCAAGTTCATTTTCTCACTAAGAGCCATTATGAACATCCTGAAGAATCTTCTTAATGTATTGTTTAGTTAGTGGGATAGTGCATTGTATGCCCAAAGTACCACCTACAGTAATCCTTGCATCTTACAGCAAGTACACATCAAAAGAGGGTCACTGAAGCCGGTAGGAACAATTCTTGTAAGCAGCACACCATAAGGGTATTCTCAAAAGTACAAGTTCCAGAAATTATGAATCAGGAAAACAACTTATGTGATGAACATTTAGCTCCTAATTTTAGCAATGAGCAAATAATAGTTAAAAGACATTCAACTGTATTATGCCATCGCATAGCCATTAAGCTTAGGTGGACCCCAGTTAGCAAGAAATCTAGTAGGTAAATCTCACAATAGATGAGCAAGTATTTCTGACTACCAGTTTGTTCAACAATAAAAACAACAAATTTGGATTTTTTTAAAATGGAAACATTATGAGTTCCATTCAGCTCTGCTATTCAAAACCAATCCCTGGGCTCAGAATTCTTGAATTCTAAGTTTATTTCTTTTGCACTAGGTTGTGTTTGTTTTATCTTGGTATACCCTAATACATACAGAATAAATCCCATAAACCCACCTCTACATTTACATCTTCAGCATAACATATCACTTCTTACAAATACTCTGAATACAGAAAGAGGAAGATCCATGCTGTATGTCAGCTGAAAACCCCCATTAGTAGTCTGTAACATTGGTTTAAAAAGTACAACATAAATATATAAGAGCAATTTTATATTAGTTCTGTGGAAATTTACATGTTTCTAGCTTCAGTAGTATTGTTTACTCAACATACTTCCAACTCACCTGGAAGACACAACTGAAGCTTCTCAACTACTGTTGTAATATTCCTCTGCTGAAGTCTACACTGGATGATTTCCTCTGTTTCAAATATTACCTTGAATATTAAAAAAAGTCAATAAATTATGTGGAGATGTTGTCTTCCGTAAATATTCACTAAACACATAGGAAGCACCATTTTTCTCACCTCTTTTCCAGCATCTTGAAGTCTTCGGTTGGTATCAGTAACTTGGACCTTAAAAATAATTTCACCTTTGTTAGACAAATATGCACATATTGCCCTGATGCAACTGTTCACCCTTGTAATCAGATCATGCTTCATGAGAAACTTAGAACAATGAACTGCAAATCCAAATTAACTCTACAGCTTCAACTTGAACTTCTGATCACCAAGGTTTTTTTCCCCTTAACTTCAATTAGTTATGACAGTTCTTTCTAACAGATTCTGTGGCAAACTTCTCAAATTTACTTGGGATTTTTGAACTTTATTTGTTTCTGTAGGTCTGTCAAACAATTCAAATCATTGACCCAATTGACCACTGGTCCCTTTTTGATAACCTCAATGAGCTCTATGCGCCATTCATTGTCTGCAAGAAATGGTGATTGCATTTTATGGTAATTAAACATTCATACTTTGCTGAATGCAAACACTGGGTGGTTGATTAACATCAAACGTGGAAATCTCCAAGCCACAGCAACATTTTAATGCCGCAGGTGCAGGCAGAGCTCGACCTCAGACTTTCCCACATATTAAGTGACTCATTAGGTCATCATAATAAGGGAGCACATTCTAGTTTATTAAAAAACTCATTAATTTCTGAACAAAGATGCTCAATGACCTCATTGATGCTGTATTTGGTCTCTTGTTATCTGAATATCCTTTATATAATGCTGTTCTAATCATAACCTCTGGTGAACTACGCTCTTTCTGTCTGGTGTGCATATTTTTCTTGGAAATGTGTAAAGAGAGCTAAGGGGACTAAGTTCCATAATTTACTTCTGAGGAAATCTCACAGCAAGTTTATAAAGAATCCCAACAATTCCAGTCGCTCTTTGAGGAACCAGGGAAATGTCTGTTTGAGGAAGAAAACTCTATGCAAGCTCTGGGACTTTTTTTTAATCAACCTTGGTTTTGAAAAATAGATTTGTCATGCATTATGGAGCTTGTCATACAATTACTGCACTGTTAATTACAAGTAAAGGTACTGTTCAATTTAAAAAGTTTTCCCCCTCAGAATTCCAAAGCTCTGAACCAGAGTTTGCAGACATGCAAATGTGTGAACACTTTAATTTGAAAAGGAATATGCAATTATAAAACTCTCAAAGGCAATACAAAACCACCTTTCACTATTTTGACAGTTGCAAGTGCAATAGTAATGCCTTACCTTCAGTTTTTCTGCATCAGCCCTTACTTTAAGTAGTTCTGTAATAGCATCCACAAAGCCTTGATGGTGAAAATTGCACATCTTTTCAATCTCCCTGTCATGGTTACGTATACATGCATCTAATTTTTCCATGAACTTTTGGTGTGCATTAGGTTGATCATCATATACAGACCTGTCAATTATACAGAAATAATAAAATGTGGGTACAATTAGCATTAACATTTGTACTAAAAGCAAATAAAAATAAATAAAATAAAATTACATTCGGAATTAATAAATCAACCACAGTTCAGTAACCAATTGCACCATGATTCCCTTTGGTTTTAATGAACATTTTATTGATCAAACAACTGAATTAGCCAGACCTCTATTATACCATTGTCTTGAGACTTACTAAAAATATAGTACAAACCAGTTGTCTTAGTATGAATATTTCTTAAACTATCATTTATAAAATGGACAAGAATCTCTTCAAATGATGTATACTCTTCCAGAGTGCTACCACATTGCATTTAGCATATCTCTAGTAAAAAAGGCTAAAAAATGCATTACACAAACTGCCCCCTAGTGGTGAATGACTGTCAATTCTTTAAATGAATGCCCTCAAGTCACTTCCAACTGGAGGCAACCCTACGAATTGGAGGTTTCCAAAACATCCTGCAAACTCAAGCTTGTGGCTTCTTTTAGGGAGTTAAGCTATTTTATATTTGGTCTTCCTCTTTTCCTGTTGCTTTCTACCTGCCCCAGAATTATTGTCTTTTCCAGCAAATCTTGCCTTCTCATGATGTGCCCAAAGTAGGACAGCCACTGCTGGTTGTTTGTTTGTTTGTTTGTTTGCTTCGTTTGTTTGTTTGCTTGCTTCTCTCTCTCTCTCTCTCTTTATTTTTTCCTTCAGAGATACTTTAAGCTTGATTTGCTTTAGGAACCACTTGTTCATCTTTCTGGCAGTCCAGGATATCTGCAAAGCTCTCCTCCAGCACCACATTTTGAATGAATAATTTTTATCCCCTGTCACCTTTCTTTACTGCCCAGCTTTCACATCTGTACACAATGACTGGAAATTCAAGAGTGTGGATGATCTTGGTGTTGGTCTCCAGTGACACATCCTTGCACTTGATCTTTTCTAGTTATTTCATTACTGTGCTTCTATGTCTCAGTCTTCTGATTTCTTGCTGTAGTCTCTATTTGGACTGAAGATCAAACCAAGATATTCAAAATCTTTCCCTATTTCAATTTCTTCATTATCAACATTAGAATAATTTAATTCTTCTGCAGTCAAGACTTTAATCTTCCTAATGTTCAACTGCAGTCCTGCTTTGGCACTTTCTTCTTTCACTAAAAGTCATTTCAAGTCATTGTTGATTTCTGCCAGTAAGATGATGACTTCTCCATATCTTAAAATATTAATGTTTCTTCCACCATTTTTCACTCCTCCTTCATCTAAATCTAATCTGGCTTTCTGCATAATATGTTGAACAGATAAGTGGATAAAATGCATCCTGGTCTGACACCTTTGTCTACAAGAAACTATTATGTCTCTCTATATTCTATCCTAACGTTATCTTCTTCTCCACAACACAGGTTCTTTATCAGGAGAATCACGTGCTGAGTAACACAGATTTCTTTCAGAACAACCCATAGCTCCTCATGATCCACACAGTCAAATACTTTGCTATAGTCTATAAAGCACAGACTAATCTTCTGAAATTTTTTCATAAACTCCAAAGACAGCAATTATTTGTAATATGATCTCAAGTGCCTCTTCCTTTTCAGAATCCAGATTGAACATCAGGCATTTCTCACTCCATACAAGGTAAAAACCTTTGTTGCACTACCTTGAGCATCACTTTGCTTGGATGGGAAATTAAAGCAATAGTCCTATCGTTATTGCACTTTTTGAAATCTCCTTTCTTGGGGACTAGAATATATATCGAATGTTGCCAGTCTGTGGGCCACTGTTTTATTTTCCATATTTGTTGACATATTCTTGTTAGGATCTTGACAGAGTCTCATTCTATCACTATTATATTTACCTCTGATGATTTATTCTTCCTAGTGCTTTTAGAGCAGCTTTCATTTCACTTTCTAGAACTACAGGTTCTTCACCTCAGGATTCCTCTTGAAAGAAGTTTGTCAGTATACTGTTTCCATCTTCTCTTTATATTATGCTTCCCTATTAGTCATTCAGCATATATAATAGATATTCAGCATATATGATATTATAATATATAATATATTTATATTCAGAATATAAATATTCCCTTTGACTATTAATATTTTAAAAACTAAAGGAATTTACAGTGAACCCATCAAGTTCAATGACACTCATTCCTATGTATGGCTTTTATATTTATGTATTAATTATATTTTTATCTACTGTTGCATTCATGCCTTTTAAAAAGCTTAGGAACATAAAAAGATACAGCATGGCTCTTTTCATATTCTTATCCTCCTCCCCCTTATTTTATCCTCTCAACAACCCTGCACAGTAGGTTAGACTGAAAAGCTAACTGGTTCAAGTCACCATTTCATGGCTTAGAGGGGTCATGAAGCTAGATCTCCAAAATCCCAGTCCAACATTCTAACTAGTGCATCTCACCTTAACTCAAGTAAGTGTGTATATGATTGCAGCCTTACACATTTAACTCAAAGCACCAAAATCTTAGCCTCCTCATTCTGCTACAACCATCTTCAGAACTGCCTTCTAAGCCACTTTTAATTAATTTTAGCCTATTCCAACCCTATCTGGACATTAATGTCCTGTTCCCCATCTACTCTACCTTTATAATGGCATTCAGGAAAATGAGAAGCATTGTTCTCAAGTCCTACAAGAATGCATTAATAAACATTCATTCTTCAGCTTTCTCCATATTAGGATACTCAGACTCTGCTATCAACTATTCATATTCTTCTGCCTCGGCTCCTGGGTTTCATTTTTGCTTAGTAACTGACTTTTTCATGAATACATCACCTACAATAATTTGCAGACAGGATCTTTTGTCTTAAACCATGCCATCTTTCCTAAATATTACCTAAGCAAAACTCAGTATACATTGTACAATGGGAAATGATGTGCAGTTTCACAGGCAGTTTGCTATTCTACTGAGATGAAACCAAGGTAACTACCATGGCACATTTTTCCTTGCTAAATATGGAAATAGCACCACCTTGTGGGAGTTACAGCAAATTTCTTCCCAGTACAAGTTATGAAACAGTACCAGAAGTTTCTGTTAAGGTCAACTTTATGGGTCAGTACATGCTATGAAATAATTTTGCATTCTCTCAGTGATGATATTCTTGGAGATACTTGAAATGTTTTTCTTTGCTATCAGAGAAAAGAAATTATTGACTAGGCACTTGAAGACTGGACAGCTTCACAGCTATCCTGACCTTACAAGTGTCTGTGATACACCAACATGTTTGACTGATCCAAAACAATATCTAAAGGTTTTCAGCCAAGAAATTCCCATTTATTTTGCCCTTTTTTATAGTAGCCTGTATTCCATGCTGTACAATAGAGCCAAGAATATGTATGTTGAAATGCAGTTTCAACGATGATTTTGATATCTTTTACATATCACATTCTTCATCTTCAGGAAGATGTTCTGAGCTAACTCCAGAAATCCAAAGAAGCTGCACAAGTAGGATGGGATGGCAATAGTTTGTAATGTGTGCATGTTTTAACTGACTCTGTATATTGTTTTGGATAGGGTTGGCAAGAATGTAATTTATTGGTAAATAATATATAAAAAGGAATTATTGTGCATCAGCTTATACAACACTTATTAGAATGAAACAAGAGATTAGTATTCAGTTTAACATTTTTCATTCTCTCATACACCTCATTATTCCCATGTTTGGCAGCTGACTGGTATACAAGTCTTTATGCTTCCTTCTGACACATTTCACTCTAACATACAGTACAAATTTTGGAAGCAAATGTTGTAGGCAAGGGCAAGGAAGCTTTGGTCCAGAGCAATTGAACCTCAAGCTGCAGAAGCCCCATCTCAGCCGACAGCAAGGTACCATGGAAGCTGTAGTCTGAAAAACGGGAGGGAGTTTCCCTTCGCTGCACAGATTTCTATTCTCATCTGTTTTGCTTTCCATTCCATAAATTAAGCACTGTAAGCAGAGAAAAAATAAGCACCAACACAGAACTCATGGATTCCTGTTTCCTATTTCCTCTGAGACTGCAGCCCCAGGGCAGAAAAAGTGAAATCAACATGTCCTTTTCCAGAGTGGCCAGAAACAGAATCCAACTGTGCAGCTGTACAATTGACAAGTCAAAGTGAGCCAAAGACGGAACAGAAACTGTAAGCAGGAACACAATTCTCCATTCTCAGAACTGGAAAGCTCATAGTTCCCAGTAAGGCTGGTGATCCTGCTGAAATAAATACTGTCTAAATCAAGTAGATACTTCAGAAGCAGAAAGCATTAGAATGGGTGGGTACACGGTATGACCTTTCTCAAGGCAACAAGGTGCTCTGTTTATCAGCAAGGCAAGAAAATAAAATCCAAGCCCAGAAGGACACATTCAACAAAATCAGCTCAGGACAATTTTCTGTCTGAGACAAAGAACAAAAAGAAGACAACTCCTACTATTTCATATATGGAAGCCTAGTGGACTGGCAGATGAACCTTTCATCAACAGTCCTGTCATACCTGACAGTAGAAGACTTGTGAAGTAGCACGACATTCACGATAGGAACAGAACTGCCACTGGTGGCCCACCCAGCAGTTGCCTCATTCAAGGGATGGCCTTAGGCTCAGTTCCAGAGAAGAGCTAGGAAGAAGGATCATAACACATGTCCAGAAAGCCTAAAGAACCCTGAGCAGACCTGGGAATCAAGTTAAGCACTGGATTATGATGGTTGTGATTATGATCATGATCCATAGACCTCAAGAGACCTAGATTTAAATCCTTGCTCACGGGGGCTGTGTGGCAACAGTAAACCACTTCTTGAACTTCTCACACACCACAAAAACCCTGTAAGTCAGAACCAGCCTGATGATACCAAACAACAACAATCACAAAATATACACTTACACATGATCCACCATACACTATGCCATTTGAGAAGACAATTCAAAGAAACAGAGCCTTCATTTTTATTTTAAAGAGTGGATCAGAGCAAATCGGTTATCATAGACCAAGAGTGGGCAAGTGAAGCC